GGTCGTAGAACATTAAGCCTATCCAGAGTGCCTCGAATCGTCTCGACACGTTCTGAGAAGAAAGTACCTTTAGAAAGCATGACACACGAGCTGGGTGCCATCATGTTAATTTAGGGAGGTCCGATGAGATATCACCGTATTCTACCAAATTCATCGGCCGCTGCTAACCATCGCTTCAATCTCAGTTCATCCCATGAAGTTAGCACAATAATGCCTCCTAAAAAAAAAGGGAAGATCCAGATAACGATACTAAGACGGAAGAAGTCATGAATCTGGCATAACTAAGGAACGATATCCGGCAACACTGGAGGACGGGACTGGACCCATCGCGCCAAGCCTAAATTAACGGCATCTAATTTCATTTTTCATGGCGAAATGGGGCACTGGAAACAAAGAAACACTTTTTGTCACCTACAGGTCGATTGTTTGGTTGGTCTCTTTCCTCCAAGAACTTCCCAGGAGCGGCTTCCAAGGGGGCAGAAAAAAAAACCGGAACGAAATTCTCATCTCGCGAGAGCGAGATTCAGTGGTCTCCGCAACCCCGGGGAGATGGAGCTTCAAATTTGCTGGAGCGATTCTGTGTTGAAAGAGGAAGAAGTATACCAAATTTCGTTCCTGTTGATGTTCTCAGAGACAGGTTGAATTTTGTCGCCGGAAGGGGCTGAAGAAAGGTAATGGGCGCTACCGCGCCCATTGATTCCCTTCTCTTTTTTTTGGATTGAATGAGTGGCCTCTCACCTTCATTTACTACTAGTAAAACATTTAAGTTGCTCGAAGCTGAAAGATCTGTAGGAACAAGGAGAATTCATTCCTTACTTTGGTAAGAAAATGGTGTAGTCATTTGACTAAAGCTGTCAGGCAGGAATTTCGAACGATGAGATCAGCATGCTTACCAAGGCTTCACCGCCGGTAAAATAAATAAATTCCTTATCTGTCAATTTTCAGCTGCGATACCCAGGAAACAATAATTCAATGGCAGCGAAGATGATTATCCTTAGAGAAAGGGATTGAGAAGAAAAAAGGGTACATTCATCGTTAGAACGTGAAAACTGGCAATAAGACTGAAATCTGAAAGCATTTTGTTTCAAAATGGATTGCTCTGACCGGGGGAGAGTTTTATTTTTCTTCGAGTAACATAAAAGGTAACATAAAAGTTAGGCTCCCATACATACCAGCACCATACGCTATCATAAAAAGGCGATGCTGCTCTTGCAAGGATATTTTTGTCTTATAGTGTGGCAATGTCCAAGCGATAAAACTTCATCCGTATCCCTATCTTCGCCACATTCAACAGTCACAATGGATGTGGTCGTAATTCTTGTTACCATCCTGAAGCAGGCAACGAGGGAAGCAGCAGATATGATCGCTAACGATCTTCCTCTTGAAATCGCGCCATCTTGCTGTCGTGTTCGGGGAATCTCTCTCATGACTTCATGCTTTCAAGAGCATCTCTACTTAATATTAACAAATTGATCTAAGGACTGAGACAGAATGAGGGCATCGTCTTTCTTAATTCATAAAATTTTCCTGAACTGAACAAAGACATTGAAGAGAATAGGCAAGATGTGTAGCAACCGAGTTGCCAGAAACCGTCAGAAATACAGAGTATACTGGGGCAGCCGAGACACTCTCCTCCTTATTTTATATCATTTGCAGCTCATATTATTCGTATGAGAGGGAATAATTTTGCGCAATGGATTATTTCAGAGAATGATGATAAGGGTCCAGTAGAGAATGCAGAAGATAATGAAGCAGATGGGGAAGAAGATTCGGCTTTTTTCGTCGATGAAAATGGCTATTTTTTGAGGAGTCATTTCCTTGAATGTCATTTCCTTCTTGGCTTTCTTCTTTTCTTTCTCTTCTTGCGCCAGACGCCATTTTTCTTTGACCCAGTCCATCGATATCACGCTCATCTATCAACAAGGCGAATCATGTTTAATCGAATGGAGAACAATTATGGAATCGCTTTGTGGCAGTTCTATGGAATTTCGTTCGTAGAGGCATGAAGGGGGTTCGAACTTTCACGTTACTTCAGATAATTTAAAGAGGGGAAATTCAGTGTGCGGTTAACAGAATTTCAAAAATGCTCTGAAGTTATTTGACTCCATCTTTTCATGCATTACCTTTCCCTCACCCTACCTAACCTTACCTTCTCTTTCCTGAGCCATTGGAACTCTTTCAATATTCAAAAAGTACCTACATTTCTTAATAAATTTCGAAGTTTGACTCTTAAACAAATGTTGACGTCTGCTACCACTGAGAAAAGCAATTTGATAGAGCTACGATGCGACGATGACATCGAGAATTCTTAAATGACTAATGAGTAAGGATTCGATGTTCATGTCGGAAAAAAATCCAATATTTTCTGGAAGCAACATAAATACTGCAATAATATTTTTGTATGAAACGAAGAAGGAATTTAATTGCACAAAGAGGATTTACAGACTGGGAAGAGGTCGGTGAGGCGAAAGGGGAGGGGGTGGGAGGGACTGTGCCAGGATGGAACGGCTGGGAACGATCCCCTAGGAGCAGGGATCGACAACCTATGGCTCGCAGGCAGGACTTCATCCGGGCCGCATAGCACGTGAAGAAAAGAAGAGATTTATTTTATATATAATTTATATTCGCTGGTGAGTACTCGCTAGTGAGTACTCGCCAGCGAGTGGGTAAGTGTGGTGTTACATTAAGCGAGTACTCGCTAGCGAGAGCTTACTATTTACTCGCTTCAAATTGCCAGCCATCTATTTCTTGAATGGGGAATTTGCTTAATTGATATTATGTAAATATGTAAATATGTCGATAAATATGAAAAATGTAAGATTGATGACTGCCCGCAAAAAGTAGATGTTCTCATCAGCCACAGTGGATCTAGCCGACATTGTGATGGTACGCCAACTGTCAAAGTGACACTTAGGAGGTCAAAGAAAGTGGAAACGGATATCTTCGATTCTATTTAAAAAAATTTTCCAAAGATCCAAGGGCCATTCAATACATCCTTCAATTATCCCAACCATTTCAGTCATGGAATGGCCATAATCAATCTCCTACAAGTTACACATGGAATCAATATTCACACCTGGCAACGAAGAGATGGAGTAAGCAATTCCTCTGGTGGGATTGGGTCTCTCAGTACTGTTATCTTTCTTGTTACCATTGGAGCTATCTTCTCTAAGAGTCTCTAGAAAGTTGCTTCGTTCATTCGAAGAAAGCTATCAAGGTGATTGGGGCTAGAATCTCTTAGGTCCGGCAGTAAACAATTGTGCTAGATGCTCGTGCGCTTTTGCCATCAGAGGCATCCATCAAACGAACTCTGCAAAATCAACGCAGCTCTTACTTCCCGGCTGAACCTACATATCTGAGGGATCTTCATATTTAAGGCATGTGGGCAACAACGAGTGGCTCAATTCCGCAACCATTCCTTTTCTATGACAATGGTCCAGACGCTGATTCACGGATCATTGTCTTTGGGTCAAATCAGTGCCTGCAACTTTTGGCGAACAGCAACAAGTGGTTCATTCAAATAAAAATAAAAATAAAAACCAGAAAAAAATCATTTCAAGTAGGCATTTTTTCGTACTTTACAGGTATGGGCACTTTTTCCGTGGGCATTTTTTCCTGTGGGCATTTCTTCAGTAGGAGTTTTTTCGTATATTCCAGTGCGGTCGGGGAACATTAGGCCTATCCAGAGTGCCTCGAATCGTCACGACACGTTCTGAGAAGAAAGTACCTTTAGAAAGCATGACACACGAGCTGGGTGCCATCATGTTAATTTAGGGATGTCCGATGAGATATCTCCGTATTCCACCAAATTCATCGGCCACTGCTAACCATCGCTTCAATCTCAGTTCATCCCATGAATTTAGCACAATAATGCCTCCTAAAAAGAAGAGAAGATCCAGATGACGATACTAAGATGGAAGAAGTCATGAATCTGGCATAACTAAGGCACGATATCCGGCAACACTGGAGGACGGGACTGGACCCATCGCGCCAAGCCTAAATTAACGGCATCTAATTTCATTTTTCATGGCGAAATGGGGCACTGGAAACAAAGAAAAGGACACTTTTTGTCACCTACAGGTCGATTGTTTGGTTGGTCTCTTTCCTCCAAAAACTTCCCAGGAGCGGCTACCAAGGGGGGCAGAAAAAAAAAACGGAACGAAATTCTCATCTCCCGAAAGCGAGATTCAGTGGTCTCCGCAACACCGGGGAGATGGAGCTTCAAATTTGCTGGATCGATTCTGTGTTGAAAGAGGAAGAAGTATACAAAATTTATTTCCTGTTGATGTTCTCAGAGACAGGTTGAATTTTGTCGCCGGAAAGGGCTGAAGAAAGGTAATGGGCGCTACCGCGCCCATTGATTCCCTTCTCTTTTTTTGGATTGAATGAGTGGCCTCTCACCTTCATTTACTACTAGTAAAACATTTAAGTTGCTCGAAGCTGTAAGATCTGTAGGAACAAGGAGAATTCATTCCTTACTTTGGTAAGAAAACGGTGTAGTCATTTGACTAAAGCTGTCAGGCAGGAATTTCGAACGATGAGATCAGCATGCTTACCAAGGCTTCACCGCCGGTAAAAGAAATAAATTCCTTCACTGTCAATTTTCAACTGCGATACCCAGGAAACAATAATTCAATGGCAGCGAAGATGATCATCCTTAGAGAAAGGGATTGAGAAGAAAAAAGGGTACATTCATCGTTAGAACGTGAAAAGTGCACATAAGACTGAAATCTGAAAGCATTTTGTTTCATAATGGATTGCCCTGACCGGGGAAGAGTTTTATTTTTCTTCGAGTAACATAAAAGGTAACATAAAAGTTAGGCTCCCATACATAGCAGCACCATACGCTATCATAAAAAGGCGATGCTGCTCTTGCAAGGATTATTTTGTCTTATAGTGTGGCAATGTCCAAGCAATAAAACTTCATCCGTATCCTTATCTTCGCTACATTCAACAATGACAATGCATATGGTCGTAATTCAACAATGACGATGGATGTGGTCGTAATTCTTCTTACCATCCTGAAGCAGGCAACGAGGGAAGCAGCAGATATGATCGCTAACGATCTTCCTCTTGAAATCGCGCCATCTTGCTGTCGTGTTCGGGGAATCTCTCTCATGACTTCATGCTTTCACGAGCATCTCTACTTGACATTAACAAATTGAACTAAGGACTGAGACAGAGTGAGGGCATCGTCTTACTTAATTTATAAAATTTTCCTGAACTGAACAAAGACATCGAAGAGAATAGGCAAGATGTATAGCAACCGAGTTGCCAGAAACCGTCAGAAATACAGAGTATACCGGGGCAGCCGAGACACTTTCCTCCTTATTTTATATCATTTGCAGCTCATATTATTTGTATGAGAGGGAATAATTGTGCGCAATGGATTATTTCAGAGAATGATGATAAGGGTCCAGTAGAGAATGCAGAAGATAATGAAGCAGATGGGGAAGAAGATTCGGCTTTTTTCGTCGATGAAAATGGCAATTTCTTGAGGAGTCATTTCCTTGAATGTCATTTCCTTCTTGGCTTTCTTCTTTTCTTTCTCTTCTTGCGCCAGACGCCATTTTTCTTTGACCCAGTCCATCGATATCACGCTCATCTATCAACAAAGCGAATCACGTTTAATCGAATGGAGAACAATTATGGAATCGCTTTGTGGCAGTTCTATGGAATTTCGTTCGTAGAGGCATGAAGGGGGTTCGAACTTTCACGTTTCTTCAGATAATTTAAAGAGGGGAAATTCAGTGTGCGGTTAACAAAATTTCAAAAATGCTCTGAAGTTATTTGACTGCATCTTTTCATGCATTACCTTTCCCTCACCCTACCTAAACTTACCTTCTCTTTCCTGAGCCATTGGAACTCTTTCAAAATTCAAAAAGTACCTACATTTCTTAATAAATTTCGAAGTTCGACTCTTAAACAAATGTTGACGTCTGCTACCACTGAGAAAAGCAATTTGATAGAGCTACGATGCGACGATGACATCGAGAATTCTTAATGGCTAAAGAGTAAGGATTCGATGTTCATGTCGGGAAAAATATCCAATATTTTCTCGAAGCAACATAAATACTGCAATAATATTTTGTATGAAACGAATAAGGAATTTAATTGCACAAAGAGGATTTACAGACTGGGAAGAGGTCGGTGAGGCGAAAGGGGAGGGGGTGGGAGGGACTGTGCCAGGATGGAACGGCGGGGAACGATCCCCTAGGAACAGGGATCGACAACCTATGGCTCGCAGGCAGGACTTCATCCGGCCCGCATAGCACGTGAAGAAAAGAAGAGATTTATTTCATATATCATTTATAATCGCTGGTGAGTACTCGCTAGTGAGTACTCGCCAGCGAGTGGGTAAGTGTGGTGTTACATTAAGCGAGTACTCGCTAGCGAGAGCTTACCATTTACTCGCTTCAAATTGCCAGCCATCTATTTCTTGAATGGGGAATTTGCTTAATTGAGCCCCTATGTAAATATGTCGATAAATATGAAAAATGCAAGATTGATGACTGCCCGCAAAAAGTAGATGTTCTCATCAGCCACGGTGGATCTAGTCGACATTGTGATGGTATGCCAACTGTCAAAGTGACACTTAGGAGGTCAAAGAAAGTGAAACGGATATCTTCGATTCTATTCAAATTTTTTCTTTCCAAAGATCCAAGGGCCATTCACTACATCCTTCAATTATCCCAACCATTTCAGTCATGGAATGGCCATAATCAATCTCCTACAAGTTACACACGGAATCAATATTCACACCTGACAACGAAGAGATGGAGTAAGCAATTCCTCTGGTGGGATTGGGTCTCTCAGTACTGTAATCTTTCTTGTTACCATTGGAGCTATCTTCTCTAAGAGTCTCTAGAAAGTTGCTTCGTTCATTCGAAGAAAGCTATCAAGGTGATTGGGGCTAGAATCTCTTAGGTCCGGCAGTAAACAATTGTGCTTCCCCAGAGTAGATCTTTTCAAGAGGCAGGGCATCGTCAAACACCCGTCCATTACGCCTCCCCCTCTCTTCCTCTTCACACTTTGCGTACCGCTCACGGAGATCTCCGTTTTTTAATCCTTTCGCGAGTCCTTTTGCCTAGTCTATGGACGCAAAAGTCATGGCCTTGTAGGCATCGAGCTTTAGGCTAAGGCAACTGAGGCTTAGGTCAGAGCGGCGGATCGACGGGGTAAAATGTCCGGTACGAAAATGTGTTAATACCATACCCCACCACGAGGGCAGTAGCGACCACGACGTTGAATGGCGACAGGTATGGACACATTCCGAATTCATAGAAGACACTTCGCGCTGATCTTTACAGCTTCTGTCATGGGAGAAGTGGGGCTCCATCTTGCCTAGAGGTTGCCTTTTAATTGGTTCTTGGTAGCAAATACTCGCCTGAAGTTTGAAATCTTCCAAAGTTGTGACGAGCGCTAGCGAGAGGGGTGTTATACTAAGCGAGTGGCCCTAGCGAGTACTCGCCAAGTGTAACAGGGGCTTTACGTTGCCTCTTTCGTCGAATGTATCCAAGGATTCCAATGTTTTCCCTTCTGTTTTCCATGAGGAAAATATCATGCAACACTCGAAAAGAACTGATTTCTAATGCCAGTCGCATATCAGGGGGAGAAAGGAAAGAATCAGGAAAAAACAAATCAGAACATAGGAATCGAATCCCTAGCATTGAGATTCGTAAATAATTTCCTTTTTTCGTTCCACTCTGAAAGCTTTGAGAACATTGCGTAGAGTTATTTTTGAAAAGAAGCCATTGACGCCATGCGCTGAAAATGTGATGACTTATAGGTCTATAATAAGTCATCATTTACCGCATCAGTTCAATTTATAATAAGAATAGTTCCGGATGAAAACTGTAACTGACCTTTCTCTGCCTGGGTTTGGAAGAGGCAGGCTCATCGCCACCAGTTGAAGTGATCGGCACTGAGATTGTAATATCCTTGCAATCATCTTCTGGCATGTTCAACGTCTCCATGCTGCTTGATGGGGTTACGGTGAAAAACACTTTGTCGAGGCTGTTCACCGACAGCTGATTCGTGTCCACGTCCCGGCCGTGCTGTTTACCCACACACGCAATCTCTTAGAACACAATAATTCCCAATGAAATTGGGAAGGGATAGCTAACTCATATAGGCCCACAGGGCCTATAGTATTAATACATAATATCTTTCAAATCAAAGTTTTAGAAAGATTCAAATCGACATGATAATTTACAATTGGCAGGCAACCCTACGGTATAGCACAATACAGTAGGAGCCTCCTAATGGCGGCGGTTCCCACTCCCTTTTGCGACTACTTTTTTCTTAAATCATCATTTTCTTCTTGCCTTTTTTAAATTTTAACACTCTTATCAGAGTTAGATTTAAAGTGAAATATAGAAAAGAGTAAAGGTTGAAGGTAAGATCAAAGTGTCCACGTGTTGCCATCCGAATATCGATAAGATGGGAAGGGCAGATCTCTATCAGACCATCCGTCGTATTCTTGACGAGTACACCTTTACGCAGGTATGTATACTGTATGCGTAGTGGATCTCTCGTTACAGTATGCATTTTCAGTTCATTGCAAACGTATCGAACATGAAAAGACCCCATGCGCAACACGAAGACTGGTCAAAATACAGCGTGACACAAAAGTCACTTGACAAATGAGAAGAAAAAAACTTTGTCTAAAGTCTTTTTCTGCGACCCCGACTTTTTGCAACATGTGATGTTTACTGATGAATGTCTCTTCTTCTTGGATGGTCATGCTCACACACAGAATGCGCGTTACTGGTCACAGACTAACCCAGCTTGGATGCGCAAATCGAACGAACTTGATGCAGAGAAGATGATGGTGTGGTGTGGTCTGCTTGGTGACATGGTTGTGGGACCACACGTCTTCGTAGGGCATGTGGACCAACACACATTTTGGCAAGTGTTGGAAACAACTGTAGCTGATTTTTCTTCATGATTTGCCACTGAATACACGGCGCAAAATGTGGTTCCAACTGGACAGAGCCACTTCCCACTTTGCTCTCACGATCGGTCAGAAATTGAATAACCTGTTTGGTAATAAGTGGATTGGACGAGGGTGGATCTGTGTCATGGCCCCCTCGATCACCTGACCACTCCCCCGGATTTCTTCCCCTGGGGCTACGTTAAACAGCATGTGTTTATGACGGAACCTGCACCCCCCTCAAAGACCTTCAAGACCGCATCAATCATGTTCTTCAGCAAATCACACCAGCGACACTAGCCGCCGTCAGAAATGAACTTAAGAATCGTTTGGAGCACTGCATTGTGGTGCACTTTGAGCATCTCCGCTAGTTCAAAATTAAAGATTTTAGGCAAAGGGATTTTTTCTCATTTGTCGAGTGACTTTTGTATCACACTGTAGTTTAAAAAAAGAAACTTAATTCAAGATCTTCCCCTTCATTCTCTTACAGGTTCCATATGCAACAAGCAGACTGAACTCTCATCATGTCTTCCTTCTCTTGTACACGGTGGCCCAATGAACTAGGGGGCAGTATTAAAACTCTTATGGCTTTTAAAAGATTGCATGGATGTTAAGAAAATTTCAATACCATGAAAAAAAACCTTGCTAAACTCGTTTCAAATTGTCAAGGTAGTCGAGAGATAAAAGGATTTGCAAATACCCGGTCATAAAATCTGTTGGTTGGGCTCATGAAGCCATCTCAAGTGGAATTGGCCGTGTGCCAATTTCGCCTGCCCAGATCTTTTTCTCGTTCAAGAATGGTTTTTGAACGCTTGACTAAGGTATAAGGTTTGATTTGCATCATTGTAGGTTTGGAAGTTGAAAAATTATTCATAGTCATATGAAATATTGTTTGCTGAAGTGGCGATGTTCGGACGGTATTCAGGTAACGTAATTTTATTTGATCACACAAGTGCAAGCGATTTCATTAAAGAAAATGAATGAATGCATTTCCCAGGATCTCTCAAATAGTTTCAACGAGCTTTTCTCAAGAACAAGAATGGTGTATAGAAGTGCATAGTATTAAAAGCTTAATGGAAACCCATGCATTCGTTTGAAAAGTAAAGGAGTTAAAAAAGTGCCCCGATTTTATTGAGCCAATGTGTATATTTAATTATGCTACTGCCAATTTTCAGAACGTTCTCACTTAAAAATTTCATTTTTAAATATTCATAAAGCAAATTTGGGAATATTATTTCTGGGAATTTTCTGTATAGATCTGCAATAGTCAATTGAACAAGAGATTCGGATGAAACAATTTTCAATTCTGGGCAGCCGTTGAAGGACAAGGTATTTTGAGATAACCAGTCATAAAAGTCGTATCATATGTTCTGGTATATAGCAAAACTAAAGATACTGCATCTCTGAAACCTGCCATACTAATCCAGGCGACATTAGTCTAGATAATGTTTTGCTACTCAAAATTCCCATCAAGGCTATGCTCGAAAGGTTAAAGTTTAATAGCTTCTAGAAGAAATAGAGATAGATTGATTAATACGGGAAATAAAATGTTTTCATCATTTTCCTTCATATTGAAACGGATTTTGGGTTAATAACATCAAGGCTATGCTCGAAAGGTTAAACTTTAATAGCTTCTAGAGGAAATAGAGATAGATTGATTAATACGGGAAATAAAATGTTTTCATCATTTTCCTTCATATTGAAACGGATTTTGGGTTAATATAATCGAGCAGTAAATAAAGAAGTTATAGAATCAAATGGGTTCTACTGAATAATAATTTCCTTTCCGTGGAAATGTTAAAGGTCACAACTTTCGACCTCAGGTCGGGTAAGACCAAGTTCGATATTTGATGGTTTTGGGTCATACTCAACCTATGGACGGCAAATGAAGGAATTTGGACCAGGTCCGGCGCGTGTAACCCTGTGTGCAGTGGGCCCCAGCCCCAAGAGGAATAAAGAAATAAGATGGAAGAACAAAAGAAAAAGAGAAAAATCTTTGAAACGCGGCGAGTTATTCCGAAAGAGATCCAAGCTCTGCGTGAGATGGAGAATATTCCTAGGTCTTCTTATTCTGGACAGGCGAGAGGGCCGAGCTGGGCGAAATCCGTCACCGTCCCAATACACGAAATGTATTTTTTATTTTGTTTTAATTGCTCCATTCTTCCTGCGTGAAATCCTCGCGCTTGAAGGCCCTCGAGGAGGTCACTCGAGGTGAGAAAGACATCAGCGTAGAAGGGTCTACCTCGTCTTCATCCCATGCCCTCGCTCGTCTCCCTTGATCATGTTGTGAAATGTCTTGTATATTCATTACCGAGTCATTGAGGGGGTTGCCACATTTGAATTCAACAAAAGGAGGACATATGGAAATATGCACAAATATTCGAAGTATACTTGTGTATGCGGCTATGCCGCAAATACCCCCCAGACCCACCTTAAGTCAAGGCGCCAATCGATGCTATGAGAGTGTGGCCCACTGCCTTTAACTAACGAAAAGAGCCATTTTTGCTGCTATTAAGCTTTATTAATAAAGAATATATTGAAAAGTTTATAATATGGACATATAATGTGTCCATATTAAGACCAGATTGCAGTATCTACGGAACGTCTGAAATATGTACTATCAGTACCAAGGCCGTATTTATGGGGGGGAGGGGGGGGGGGGTCATGGGGGTTCAAAACC